AGTGAGGTTAGGTTGATGACCATGACTATGACTATGACTATGATTCATAGTTGAGTGAGGTTAGGTTAGGTTGTAAGTAGAATAATTTTTTAAATAAAATTTTTTAAAAAAAATTAAATTTTCTTTTTTCATAAACAAAAACAAATTTATTTTATTTTACTTTAAAATTAATTATATTTTGATCATTTATAAAATTTTGATAATGATTTTTTTTCAAAATTTATGGAATTTTGATCGATCGACCAATCAATCAATAACCACCTTTGGTTGTCGCTTTCGATAGCGATACACCTGTTCCAGTATCGCCTGCACTGCCATGAATATTTGTTTGTGATGAGCCATATGATGAACTACTTTGTTTATTCGTCAAACCAATCGGTTGTTGTACTTTTTCATAAATTTTTTCCATAAATTCATTATTTGCATTTTCAATTGAATTGCCACTATTTTCACCTTCTTGTTGTTTTTGTTGTTCACTTCCTCTAGCAATTACGGTAACAATATGTTCCTTTTCCAGAAAAAAATGATAATGGCAAACAAAAATTTTTATTACAGAAAAAAACCCTCAACATACATTATCATTATTAGAATCATTAATTACCTGTACAGGATGAATTTCTTGCGTAATCTGTTCGTTGAGGTGAGTGGGATGAAAATATTTGAAAAAAATTGAAAATTCTGAATTTTGTTTCATTGATTTTTATTATTTTACCTTTCGGAATGGTGTTATTACTTCATGAACTTCTTGTATGATTGGTTTCTTTACCGAATGTACCAAACGATGAGGTTCATCTGATTAGCAAGAAAAAAATTGAAGTTTTTTCGTTTCAAATGTCGTATTGAAAAACTAACCTTCACTTGCTGTTTCCTGTACTGAACCCTCAGATCCTTCATGTGCTTGTTGAATACGAAGACTACTTGAAGCTGATTTAAATAAAATATTTAACGGTATCGAAACAGCACCAACTTCAACAGTTGTCGGTACAACATTACCGGTAGTTGGATAATCACGAAATTGTATTTCATGTTTACTTTGTACAGCTGCCTGTATTGTATTACCACCGGATTCTAAATTCGATGTTGTTGATGCATCGGTCATTTTATATAATGGACCAGCTAACAATGAACTTGGTGATATTTGTTGCTGTGGCAATGGCTGTGATTGTTGTTGTGGTTGATAATAATTGCTGGTTGATTGTTGTCCGATACCAATATTATTCGATGTTTGTTGCTGTTGTTGACCGGTTGATGATGATAAAATTGGAACATTTTTCGTTAATGAATAATCTTTATTCGTATAGGTTTTTGACAATCCATAATCAGCAGCCAATACTGGTGATAAAATAAATCGATCCGGAATGATAATGAATGCACCAAATATAATGATGGTTACTCGAAACATAATTGAATGAATGAAAAATGAAAATGATGACCAACACTATTTTACCATTCGCTCAAAAAGATGTTCTTTTTTGTGTGTGTCAACTGTAAGAATGTATCAGCTTTTTATATCATCATGATGGTTTCTGTGACAGCGATTCATCAGGAAAGAATCAAACATTCGGATGAACAACAAAATTGTTGTAGGCGTTCAAAATGGGAAAATCTCTTCCTTGAATCAAGGATTAACACTTGTCTTTCATTATTATTTTCCTTACATACAATTTCTACAATTGTTTCCGCGATTGAATTTTTGTTTTGTTTTTCAAAAACATCACCAAAAAATGACCGGGATTATTCAGGATTAGCATTAGCCCACATGACAATAAAAAAAAGAATTCGTTCGTTTGTTTTTTATGATTCAGGAAGAACTTTTTTCCTGATGGATTATCTTATCTTTTAAGAATTATAATTTAATGAAGATTTCTTTTTTAATGATCATTTTTTTCGTCGGTAATGTCATCTATTGATAGCTCCTTGAATCACCACTGTTGCAGCCGAGTGCATGCACACAAAAACACACAATGATCATCGCGAATTCAATGAAATTTTTTGAGCCAAAATATTTTATTCCCGGTTCATTTTATCTTTATTTTTCAAGAATTTTTCTACTGAATCAACTTTTTGTCATTTTTAACATTTTGTAATGTTCATTTATTTGTAAATTCACTCATTCATTTTTGTTTTTGAAATTCACAAAAGGTTAGTTGCACACTTGAATTATTTGATTGAAAATTTTTTCTTTTCATAACACCGAATTGTAGAAATAATCAATCAAATCATCATGATGAATTCTCAATCAACAACAAATCAACAATTAACTGTTTCGATGGAAGTTACCGATGAATATATGGTACAAGAAATATTAAATGATGGTACCGAAATCTATAAACATCCATTAAATATGTCGGAAAATTTTGCCAGAATTATTCAACGAATTGATTTTGATAAATTATCAACAATATTATCAAATCAAGATAATAATAATATTGGCCCAAAAAAAGATTTCGAAATACCCGAAATACAAATGAATGTTTCATCATTTGTTAATCCAAATCAACGACCATCATCTTTTTGTCAATTGGCACCACAATTTGAATCGATAAAATCAAAAATAATGAATGCATTAACCAATATTTCTGTCATGTATGATGTAATGAAAGTTGCAAAAGAACCTGATTATTTAGTTATTGAACCAGTTGCTAAAGATCCTAATCGTATGACTGATGAAAAACCAATTACAGTATTGGTTTCGAAGAAAAAAGCTATTGCTCAAGCAGCACAATTAATTTCCAATGCATTGGATCGTTTACAAAATGAAGCTAATCATGCATCGAGATCACGGATAGATTTTCATACCGAACTTCGTTCAATGAGACAAAATTGGCGTCTACGAAAAAAAGGACAAAATATTATTGGTGATTTAAGTTATCGTGGTGCATGGTCTAATTTTTCACAACCAGCAACATTTGAAGTTATTCGTAATGAAAATCAACAGCAAACGGGGCAAAGTTCATTGATTGTAAATACACCGAAAACATTGGAAGGTGGGAATTTTTATGTTGTTCGTACTGTAAAAGGAAATCTACAGTCAAATACGCTATTTGAACCATTAAAAGTATCACATCCACAATTACAAAATCAATCAAATGATTCTCAATGGCAAACACGTTTGGAAATTGCACAAAATATGTTATTCAATAATGAACTATTCAAACGTTTAGCACATGAATCGGTTCTATTAAAATTACCCATTCCTACTATTGCAGCTGGAAATCAAATTCTAGCACCATTATTTCCTGGATTACAGCTATCAATAAATCTTTGTCATCCATCATCACAAAGTTCATCAACACAATATGACAGTGTTAATAATAATACTGTATTGGAACATACACTTTATCAATTATTACATGAAATTCATTATAAAAATATGCATTTTCCATTGCCACGACCAACATCGGTAACATTGGCAATAAATTCAGCTAAATATGTTGCTGGTCCACGTGCTTATGATAAAAAGACATTAGGACAATTGGCACAAAATGAAACAATTCTGGAACAAGTTATTCAACAAGCACAACATTCAATGTTACGTTTACGTACAATGTGTTTAATCGATTCATTAGCTATTGAAATACAAGATCCATTAATAATACCGAATTGGAATTATTTGAATGCACCCAATCAAACATCCGTACGTGTTGATCTTTATTCATATGGTTATGAAGGATTTAGTAGTTGTCGTACATCAGTTATGCTTCATATTGATACAAAAACCGTTAAAGCAATTATGAAAGATGGTCGTGTATTAAATCTATCATTTGAATCACAAGAACTTCGTCATTTATTATTGAATCTTGTTTCACATCATCAAATTGTTGCATTACAATCATTAGCTAAAGCAATGGGTTGGAAACTTGTTTCGCTGAATTCATCGGTTGGTGTTGGTAAACAAGAACCAATTTGTGGTACAGCATCATCATTAGTTTTGATATCACCAAATGGTGATCGCACTGTTGCTGTAAAGAGTGGTCCACATTCTGGTATTAAAGTAAAATTATCATCATCACCACAAGAATTTCTGCCAAGTAATCTAGTATCAAATCAACAATGGCAACAATTAAATGGACAATTTAAAATTGTTGATTGGCAACGTTTACCTGGCAAAACATTTGTTAATAAAATGGAATATATGATGGCTTGTTTAGCTATTAAATCATCATAATGTATTATTATTATTATTATTATCGATATTGGTATTAAACTCATTATTTTTATAAATGCATTAATTAAATTAATGAAAAATAAATCTATTTATAAAGAGCTACCATTCTCGATTTGTTGAATGCATTTTATTATTATTAGTTTTAAAATTTAAATTTTTTAAAAAATGTCAAGTTGGCCAAGACCATCGCATTCAAATTCAAAAATTTTGTTAACATCAAAATTTAGTGGTAAACAAAAATCTCACCATCAACATAAGCATCATCAACAACAATCACAACCACAAACGCAACAACCACGTCGTCGAAATCGTAATCGTAATCGAAATCGACGTAATCGTCGTCGTCGACCAAGTAATATTTTCAATAATCAACCTCGTCGGCCGCATTCATTTCCATTAATAGTAATGATAACTGAAACTGATTCGGATGATGAAAATAGTGATGATGAACAATTGAATCGAATTCTTGGTCGATTTGGTTTTGGTCGTAATCGTTTTAATCAACAACAAACCGAACAACAACATAGACAACAGGATGAACGACGTTTATTGTTCATTGACAATGAATTGAAATTATTCAGTCAATCAATAATCGATGAAATTGAACAACAATTAATGAAAGAATTTGAATCCAATGAATTATATTATAATCGATTGATTGAAATAATGGAAAATATTATCGAATTAGTTGTTAACTAAAAATTGATGAATGATTTTTATTTGATCTATTTCTTGCAAATAAACAAACAAAATAAATGAGATTATTAGATTGTTTTCATTATGGCCAAATCACAATGGTAAAAAGATTTGTTTGTTTTTTGTTTTGTTTTCCCTAATGGAATTTCATTGATGATGATAATGATGGTGATATGAATTTTTTTTTGGTATTTTTTTATTCTTTCTTTCTTCAGCTATTTTTAATAGCCAGATGATGATGATTTCGATGATGATGATGAAGATGATGGTGATGATTGTGATGATGGTTTTGATGATGATGATGAGGATGTTATTACAGCTTGTGATGATGCAGCAGCAGCATATCCGGATGATTTTGTAGATTTACCAAGACTGCCCCCAAGTCCACCTGATGATTTTGTTCCACCAATACTGTAGCCACCACCAAGGCCAGTGGAACCACCACCAAGACCAAGACCAGATGAACCACCTCCGAAACCAAAGCCGCCACCAGCTCCGCCGCCAAATCCAAGACCAGCGCCTCCACCAACTGCACCACCTTGGTTTCGTGCAATGATAGTGTTGATTTCTTCTTGAACTGGTTGAATTTCTTGAGTGATCTTTGTGAATGATGTTAACATCAGTTAGTTTCCAGGAATTTTTTAGGAAATTAGGAAAAAAACTTACCTTTCTGAATGGAGTGATGACTTCATGAACTTCCTGGATGATTGGTTTGGTAACCGAATGAATCAATCGATGTGGTTCATCTGAATGTAGTGAATTGAAAATGTGTTTAGTTTTTTTGCAAATTCTTGCTGCATTTGAAACCCTTACCTTCGCTAGATGATTCTTGTACACTTCCTTGTGCCGAATCATGCATCTGTTGTACATTCAATGTTGATGAACTTGAACGGAAAAGAATCATAACTGGAAGTGATTGTGATCCAACTTCAATAACGGCAGGTTGAACAGAACCGGTACTTGGAACTTCACGAAATTCAATATTATGTGTTGTTTGTATAGCAGCTGGAATAATGCCACCAGCAAAGCCACCACCGCCACCGCCACCTCGTCCACCACCAAAGCCACCTAAGCCTCCACCATAACCGCCGCCGCCACCACCAAGAGAACTACCACCTCCATAGCCACCACCACCACTACTTGAACCTTTTGATCCATAACCACCGGCGCTTACAATCGAAACAGCAGAAATTAGCACAATGAAGAACTGAATGAAATGAAAAATAGAAAAAAAATTCATTTTGAGACAATTTCACAGGTGAAACCAAAAAAAAAAAAAAAATTCAGGTAGTACCTTCATTTTTGATTTGATTTTTGATTTTGTTGAATTCAAAAGATTCAAAATTTAAAAAAATTGTTGATTAAACAATGAATGAATGGAATGAATGAATGATGATGGATATTCGAATGACTGGAATGACACCGGGTATTTATATTCGATGAAAATTTTCACTTTCAATCAACAAAATGAATGAAAAAAAGTAAAGTAAATCGTGTTTTCTTCGAAATGAGATGATGATGACCATCATGTCGTGTGTTTTTCATTTTTTTTTTCATTTTTATTTTTTTTGATTTTTTAATTTATTTCATTTAACATTTTGCCTTTGATCTGAATTTTTTTCACTCTCTCTTCTTCTTCCTCATCCTCTCATATTTGTGTGTGTTTGTCGGGAAATAATGAAAAAAATCTCTTTCCTATTTTCTCTTTGAAAAATTTGGACAGAAAAAAAATCGGAAAAAAGGAAATTCTGTTCAATGATGATGATGATCAAATGACGGGAAAAGAGCCACCAAAAACAACAAAAATCGAATGAATCATCATCATCATCATTGATGATGGTAAAGAGATTGAAATCATAACGGGATAAACATCGGATATTGTTGTTGTTGTTTAATGATTTTTGTTCAAAATTCAAACATCAATAAAACAAGAACAACAAAAAACTATGTTTTTTTTCCATGGAAAAAGAGAAAAGGAAAAAATTTATCCGACAACAAATCTTCATGTAGATAATCATGATGATGATGATGATAAACGTCATGTTTTTGTTGTTGTTATGATTATTATTGTATCGGATAAGAAGAAGAAGAAAAAAAAGGTAAAAGGTGTGTGCCCTTTTAGTGTTTTACATGAAAAACAAAAACAACGAAAAAAAAGGGTAAAGTAAAGGTAAAGATAAACAGAAAGAAGTTTTTTTATTTATTTCCCGTAAATTTTTGTTGTTGTTGTTTATAATTGATGTTGGATGATAACTTTTACTTTTTTTTAAAAATTTCAATGCAGATTTTTGTTTTTGAATTTTGAATTGGTTTTTTCCATATCCGTACGATTCGGTCATCATCATATTCTTTTCTATATCATCATCATCGTCATATATTACCCGATAATCAACATTACATAATGGGTTCAGTTAAGGGATGCCATATAATCATCATTTTTTCTTTTCTTGATGGTTTCAAAATCACTTTATCTTGGCGTGAAAAAAGTGTTAGAACAATGAAAACATATGCTAATCAGAAACTGACAAAACGTTTTTTTTAATGTTGAATTGAATTGAGCAAAAATTTTGTTTTAAAATTTATGCTAGACATGTTCTTGGCATGCACAATATGATTATTATCTTGATTTTAATAAAAAATGAAAAATTGAAAAAGATTTTTTCGTCTGATTAAATCACCTATGGTGAACGATTATGTATTTTTTCATTCCGGTTTCATTCTTGATCTTTTTTTTTGTTCCGTCGTTTTTTCCCTTTTTGTTGTTGTTAATAAAAGAAATTTGATATATGATGATTTTTTTCAGGAAAAGTCAATTTAATTCTTGATCCTATTTTGAACTGATTGATTGATTGATTGATTAGTTAGTTTTTTCACTTTTTTTCTGGCTAGGCAAAACAATCAAAGAGGTAGATGATAATTAATCAAAAAGATGAAAATTCATTCCCCCCTCTGAATCCAATGATTATTATTATTTGATTAATTTAATTTTCTTTTTTGGTTTATAAAGATAATATAGGGATTTATGTTTTGTGTAAATTATATTGTGTTTATGTCACATTCAAAAAAAAAATTACAGGTTGTCAGATGATGATAAAATCAAAAAGGATTGAGGATTATTTATTACAATTACACATTTATTCGAGTTTTTTTTCTTTTCTTCGCTTGTATTTAGATTAATCATGATCATTTGGGACAATTAAAAATTTGATTTGATTTTTCATTACAATCATATCTTCCGCCCGAAAAAAAACGAAAATGATCATCAAACAAAATTAATGATGATAATTAACCCCGTATTGATGTGTTCAGATATTCGTTACCATTATTTTTCATCATCGATTATATTCATCATCATTCATTTTGTGGTCAAAGTGATTAAATTGATGATTATCATCTTTGATGATGATGATGATTAAAACTGATCATTTTGTTGAGAATTTTTATGATATAGATTTTATGAAAATTTTTCTTAAAAAATTCATCTTTTCATCACTTTTTTCTTGAAAAAATGCTTGTATTGTATTCATTTTTTTTTTGTTTTTCCAGCAAAAATCGTGGTTTTTGTTTTCTGGATCGGACACAACTTCCGATTCATCATCAGAAAATTATTCCCATCATCATCATTATCATTAGATTATAATCTCGTTCTTGTTGTTGAAATTAGTCAAAAAAAACGAAAAAAATATTATCATTATCATAATTATAATGATAATAATAATGATTATTATGTTGACCATCATCATCAACATCATTATCATTATTATTATCATCGTGCACCCGATAAATGAATTACCCGCAAGAGAAACAAAAGAAAATATAAATGAAAAAGGAAATACGTCCAGTGTTCCCGTGTTACATAATATTTACAAGTGTTTTTTTTCCTTGTTATCCGGATAAAAAAAAACGTTTTTTTTCGCTAACAACAATTATAAGTAGCGCCCTTTATGGTTTGAAATTTTTTTTTGGCTTTAGTTTTCCGGTTAAATATCATCGAAGCAACAACACGTTTGTCCCGCAGATTATAATCATCATCCATTGATGATGACATGATTATCATTGACATTTAAAAAATGCATAAATGTGACACTGACAATGTTTGGCTGGAGATGTTACATAATCAACATCATCATCATTATCATTCAAAAAAAATTTTGTTTTTTTCGAAATAAAGTAAAATGTTTTAAATGATGAATCCTGCTTTAATGGTGGAAGAAGAAAATTTATTGAAATTGACATGATTGACGTGATTTTTTTTGAACTTTTTCAAATCTTAACTACTGAGGTTACCTGTTACCTGTAAACTTTTGATTTTGATTTCATTTTGGAAAATTTTTACCTTTTTTTACATGATACAATTTTTGTTTCTACTGTGATGATGATCTTGTAATTGATTTGAAGATTTTCTTCTACTTCTTCTTCCCCCTCCGAAAAAAAGTGATTGCTTCTGATTGACTTTTTTCAAAGTTTTAATCCTTTCCACTCGAATAAATTGTAAAATGAATGAACAAAAAAATCAGTGTTAAATAAGTGTCAATAATAATAATCATTATTATAACGGCAGGCCACTTGTTGAATAACTTGATTTGACCATCTTTTTAAAAAACATCAATCATTATCGTCACCATCGACATCGACAGCGAGACAAACAGACCAAATCAGTTCAAATTCAGTCATCAAAAATGAATTTTATTGCTTTTTTTTCTCGATTTGATTGAATCAATTTTTCAAAAACAAACATCCTTTGAACAACAGCTGTAATTGGATTCGAACAACAACAAAAAATCTGATAATGAAAATTATCATCAAATTTTCTATTATCATTGATCACAAAGATGTCCTTATTATTTGATCTCTTTCTCACCACAATGATAATGGAATTCAAGTAGAAAAAAAACTAGAATGATGAATTTGATCCATTTGAAAATGAATAAATATCTGCATTAAAAAGATTATAATCATCATCATCCGACTAATGATGATGATGATGATGATTAGGATCATTTTTGTATTGTATCATTTGGATTTCATATGAAAAAAACATTTCATGTTCCATTTTGTCATCATCATTTGTTGTTGTTGTTGTTTATTGTTTATTGTCCCCTTAGCTTTGTTCATGAACATTTTGCATCGATAAGGAATGCTGTTGTTGCTTTTTTTTATTGAAAATGGAAAAATGGTTCAGAAAAGGAAATGTCCGTGAATCGTCAAATGAAGAAGAAAATGAAATCCGATTTTTTTGAAAGTTCCATCATCATTATCATTGTCGTAGTCGTTGTAAGATTTTGATTTGTTTGATTCGAACGTTATTGTGTTTGATAATGATAATTTTTTTTATGTATGTTCCAAAATTGGGATAAAGTTTTTCTCTTTTGTTGTTCCCCAATCAACGATCCATCATTCCGATTTGACCGAATCATCCATTTAAAACATCAATGAATTGTCTTCTTGGAATTCATTCGATTTGATGATTGACATTGTATATAACGATTGTCGATCAAATGATCGAGAATGAGCATGATTTTTGTCCTCGAACTTCACAAAATCAATCGTTTGTATCGAGAATTATTATTTTCTGCAAAAAAACCACCACACTCAATTGATTGGTTCAATTCAATTCATTGGATCGATCCAATTCATCAATCGATTGAATTGTTTTGCTGGAGAAATGTTCAAAGTTCAAATGTAATAACCATCAATGAAGAAAAAAAATGAGAAATTTTCCCAGATTTATCCCGAAAAAATCCTAAAACTGCACTTGTTGTCAACAATTTTCAATTTTTTTTATATTAATTAAAATTGTTTGTTTGAACTTTTTGCTAATTAATTGATTAATTTTGTTTTTTATTAGCTTAAAAATTGGAAGCAAATTATCATTAGATATCATTTAATTAATGATTATTATTATGGATTTTATCACAGGCCATCAAATCAAAGTTAATTTCATTTCACTTTATGTTTCAAGATGAAATTTTTTCAATCAAAAACAAAAACAAAAATTGAAGGAAACATGATTGAAAGGATTAAATGTTTTTTTTTTTGAAAATGTATTTCCAAACAAAAAATGAAAATTGAATTTTTTTTATGAATTTTGTTTTCACAATTGAATCGGCTCGTGTGCATGTCTGCCACATCAAAATTTTTTTTCGTTTTTACTTTTTTCAATCAATCAATTCTTTAAAGATTTTCATTTCATTCAAATCCGTTTCATTTTTTAACTTTTCAAAAATGAGCTATTTTCGGTGTGTGATTTGTGTAATTTCATCATGATCGTCATATTTTGATCGGTCAGTAGGGGGAANCCTCGAACTTCACAAAATCAATCGTTTGTATCGAGAATTATTATTTTCTGCAAAAAACCACCACACTGTTTGATTGGTTCAATTCAATTCATTGGATCGATCCAATTCATCAATCGATTGAATTGTTTTGCTGGAGAAATGTTCAAAGTTCAAATGTAATAACCATCAATGAAGAAAAAAAAATGAGAAATTTTCCCAGATTTATCCCGAAAAAATCCTAAAAATGCACTTGTTGTCAACAATTTTCAATTCTTTTTATATTAATTAAAATTGTTTGTTTGAACTTTTTGCTAATTAATTAATTAGTTGAAAATTGGAAGCAAATTATCATTAGATATCATTTAATTAATTAATTATTATTATGGATTTTATCACAGGCCATCAAATCAAAGTTTATTTCATTTCAATTTATGTTTCAAGATGAAATTTTCAATCAAAAAGAAAAAACAAAAATTGAAGGAAACATGATTGAAAGGCTTAAATGTTTTTTTGAAAATGTATTTCCAAACAAAAAATGAAAATTGAAATTTTTTTCACAATTGAATCGGCTCGTGTGCATGTGCTTGCCACATCAAAATTTTTTTTCATTTTTACTTTTTTCAATCAATCAATTCTTTAAAGATTTTAATTTCATTCAAATCCGTTTCATTTTTTAACTTTTCAAAAATGAGCTATTTTCGGTGTGTGATTTGTGTAATTTCATCATGATCGTCATATTTTGATCGGTCAGTAGGGGGAAAAAATAAACAGGAAAAAAACAAAAGAAATTTTTCGGAACAAAAACTTTTACTTTCAAAGCAAAAGAAATTCAATACATTTTGTTTATTTATGGGCTATTTATGGGCACACACACATTAATAACAATATTTTTTTTTCTTAAGATTCGTGCATCATCGAGCGATCCAAGATTTCCATTGTTTTGCCATTGTTTTTTTTCTGTGATCAATATTGTTGATAAGAAAGAAAAAATGATATTTTTTTTAGATGTTTAATCTACGAACATTTGTTTTGTTTTTAATTTGAAAATTATTCCAAATCTTGATTTGTTTTTTTTTCGTTGAATAATAAAACTCTGATACAATCAGTTAATCGATCTTTCAAAGAAGAATTAATCGATTTTCTTCGTTTATATACAATGTAACAAATTTTTCTGTTTTGTTTTTTTAGATTAAGATTTATGTCGAATGTAATTAATATCAATAGCGTTGTTGTTGTAGATTAATCAGCATCATTGATTTTTTAGGATTTTAATTGCAAAAAAAACGAAAAACACTTTTTCTTTAAATGACTTTTGGTCTAATTTATTTGGATCAATTTTTTCGGGTTTAATTTTTGATTGATTGATGACAAATAATTTAATAAATAAATAAATAAAATTGAAAAATAAATAAGTTTCTTGATTTTGATGGATGCTGATTTCTTTTTTTTCTTCTTTGGTTGATTGAGCCGATGCTTTTCCACTATCCGGGAATTCAAATGTTGTGCAATGTATATTTACAAAATTATTCTATTTTGATTTTGATAGGTTGATAGGTAAATAGGTAGGTAGGTTAGTTGTTTGTTAAATCAAGCGATAATCGTTCTTTATTTTGTTTTCGCTTAATAACCACCTTTGGAACTTGAACGTCCACGTGATGCAAGTGAAGCACCACCACCATAGCCTCCTCCTAAACCACCTCCCAAACCACCACCCAAACCACCACGTCCAGAACCACTCAAACCGGCACTAGAGCCACCACCGAAGCCACCCAAACTAGCGCCAGAAGAACCGCCACTTTGATCACGAGCAACCAATGTAAGAACTTCTTCTTGTACTGGCAAAATTTCTTGTTGAATTTTTCGCATTGGTGTGATGACTTCATGAACTTCTTGGATGATTGGTTTGGTGACTCGGTGTACCAATCGATGTGGTTCATCTATCAATGACAATAAAATAATCAATTAATCAATCAATCAATCGAAAATCAAATACAACTCATACCTTCACTTGATGATTCTTGAGTGCTTCCACTAGCGCCTGGTTTTTCGAAAAAGAAACGGAATTTAGTTAAATTTTTCAAATAAAATTATCAACATTACCATCATGAGCTTGTTGAACATTCAATGAACTACTTGATGATCGGAAAAGAATTGTAACTGGCAATTGACTGGCACCAATTTCAATGGTAGCTGGATTCAAATTTCTTGTGGTTGGAACATCAACATAACTAAGTTGATGTCTGGTTTGAATAGCAGCGGCAACGGTTTGTCCACCGCTAAGACCACCGCCGTAGCCGCCACCGGAACTACCCCCATAGCCACCTGAACCAGATGAACTAGCTCTAACGGCAGCACCACCACCATAGCCACCTGCATAAGCAGTAGCGACCAAAGCAGAAATGACGAATAACTGTACCAATGAAAAATTAAGAAAAAAATTTTCGAAAAATTAATTACAATGTATCTTACTTTGAACATTTTTGTTGTTTTTGAAATTATTATTGTACTTTTAAAATTAAAAAATTTAATAATAATGTTGATGGTTGTTGTTTGTTTGTTTGTTTGGGATGATGATGCTAATGATTGAAAATCGATAGCTTTTATATCCCAAAAATTTACAATTCGACAGTGAAACAAAAAACAAAAATCGATCGGAAAAAGAGTCTCATTATCATTTAAATGTAATGAAAAAGACAGTGTCATCAATAATAATAATAATTAACGGCAAAAAAGAAGAAAAAAAATGATTATATAACAACCATAAACATCACACACAATACATTCAAAGATGATGGTTATTGATAATTATTTCATGATGATTTTCAAGTTGAAAAAAACAATTTTCTTTATCTTTAGGGGCATATAAAAAAAAATCTAGGCTCCTCCAATGAAAAATCTCGTAATGATTTAATTTGAATAACAGCAAATAAGAAAAAGAAAAAAACAGAAGAAAGAAGATATGACAATCACGTTCTTCTTTATTGATCGATCTTGTTCACGTATTTTTTTTCGCTCATCCATATTCAATATTTTTGAAAATTCTTTCTTGAATTCATTACCCCAGTTACTCCATTATGGTCGTGTTTATCGCATGTTTATCCGTATGCGAGTTTGTACCGATTTTGAAACAAAAACAAAAAAATTGATTATCCTGTGTGTGAAAAAAAAGATTTATTGCAAGTTCAACCATGGTATAACTGTATTTATCACAGAAATTCAGTCAATTTTTCAGTTCCGGAACTTTTTTTCAGTTTCAGTTCTCATCATCAATTTTTTGATCGATTTTCCTTTAGCTTTGCTTTTGCATAACTTCTTCTTTTCTTACATAATCATCATTATCATCATTTATTATTCTCATTAACATTTCATAATTATTATTATTATTATCGATATTAACTACTAGCATCTCAATAATAATATTATTATTATTATTGTATAATAATGTCGTTAAACTGCGAAAACATTTTAAACTTTACTAATAAATAACAAAAATTATAATAACTTTTTTCTCTGTTTTGAAAAAAATGTTTTTTTTCATATATGCAAATCGATAAACAACAACAACATATCAAACGAATCACTGTGATAAATGGATGACCTAACCATGCTGCTTGTAACATTCATTAATTCATTAACATTTACGATTGAACGGGTAATGATAATTCTCAACGTGTGTGTGTGTAAAGATATTATGTTTTTTTTTGACATAAAAAACAAAATCTTTAAATCAATACTTGCTTTAACTTTGATTTCTAATTCTAATCATTATCATCATGATTATCATCCAAATAAACAAATAAACATAAAGATCTTTTTTAATCAAATGAACCATATAAGGCCATCTTTGATTATTATTTTTTGTTTTTCTCTTTAATCTTTTGAATATAAAGATATTTTTTATGCTGATTATGATGATGATGATGGAACAAGTTTCTGGAACATTTTTTATGTTGTTGTTGTTGTGAATGATATATATGTGACCGACAGTTTTTGGAACAGTCAAATTTGTAACATTCGAAAAAAAAGGACACAAAGATTCAAAAAAAAAAATTTGAAACTTTGATTAATCAATTTTTTGTTTTTGTTGAAAAAAGATCATTGACATAAACAATTTTTGTTTGAATTAGTTGCGAAATAATAATTAATTAATGATGATGATGATGATGTTTGACAAGGTGATAATGATATAGTTCATTCCGATATCAATCCAAATTGAATATCGATGCTTTAAAAAAATGATAAATTTTTTTTCGATCAACAAATCCATTATGAAAATCAATCAATAAACTTTGATCAATTATTGATATCTTTAATTGAATTGAAAATGAATTAGAAGTTAATAAATCATTTTATTTTGTTCGTTCAAATTGTTTCCAGCACAATTCTGTTTAGTTTAAATGAAAAAGAAAAGAAATCTGTTTTTGATCATAAAGATCTATAGAAGGAAATCAGTAAATCTTTTTTAATTACACATTGTTTTTTGTTTTTTGTTTGAAATTGTTATTATTATGAAAACGCTATGTGATGAAATGATGATAATAATTTACAACCAAAATGAAAACGATTGTGAAATTCTCACGTGATGTTAACCGAATGAATTCCAAAATGGACCATCATTTGCCGATCGATAATGATTATGATAGTTGATTGGTAAAAGATAATGGCCACTAACAGATAATGGTTGATGTTGATGATGATGATGAGGATGTTGATGATGATGGGCGCCATGTACAGAATTTCCATAATGATGGACAGGCATCATTGGATAGATATTCATAATTGGCATTAAAAATTGTTTACCCTGTTGATAATTAGCCACACCATTTGGATATGTCATTGATGATGGTGATTGTTGTTGTGATTGAAAAAATTGTCCAGTAGTTGACACCAATGGAATCATTTGCTCTGATGATGATGTTATTGATGGAATTGGATATGATGATTGTGGTAACATTGTTGGAATAATTGTAGGCGATATAATCGATGCTATCGTTGGTAAAGAAGTTGGCATCGATGGTGATAATTGTTGTGTTGGTGGCATGATTGATGGTGGTTGACTGTAATAATATTGATTTTGTGACATCATTGGCCGAATTATACCAGGTATATGATTATCTTGTTGATCAATTTGTAAACGACTTGATGTACTACGAAATAATAATTTCATTGGCAAAGAATTTGTTGATACGGTATGAATCTGGGGTTCTTTTGGACCATGTTTTCTTGATGGAACTTCAATATAACGAATTTGATGATATGAATCGATTGCAGCTGGAATTTGTCTCGGTGGACCACCATTTATGTTTTCATCAGCCAAACATTGTTTTTGATTGATTAACATTAAAATGGCGGTAACAAACAATATGATTAACATTTTATTATCCATGGTTAGTATCATTTTTTCAGGTTTCTGTGCTGATGAAATTTTTTTTCTGAACAAAAAAAATCACTCATACACCAAACGACAAATACTACATAAACATTCGTAAGAAACTAACTAACTAAAAATGAAAATTTTATCCGCAAAATTTTCAAATATTTTCTCGTGAAAATGTTGGTTGGTCGACAACAGCAAAGAGACGATATGACGACAAAATATCTTTAGATTTTTTTCTTTTACTTTCTGATTTTCGGTTTTTTCGTTCTTCAATTTATATCCTTCGTTCATTCGCAATTTGTTTCTCAATATGAAATTGTACTTGGATATGATCAAAGATCCAAATCATATCGACCATCTCAGGTGACATCCTCATCCTCATCATCATCAACATTTAAATACCGACTATATTTGATAGTTGCCGATGGCATCAAAAAAAAAATTAATGTTTTGTTTTGTGAAAATTTTGCAAAAATGAATATTTTTATAATAAAATCATTATGGTTTTATCGTGTATGTGTGTGGTATGATACTTTCACCAAATGGCAAAGTATCATCAGCATCAATATCCGAATAAAAAACTTAGAGAAATGAAAAATGATGATGATTAAAGATTGGTTGGATGTCATTATATTATCCATACATTTCACCTAGATTTTTGTTTTTCAAATCTTCGAAATTAAACTAGAACATCATCATCATTATCATCATCTTCTCCTTCTTCCACGATGATGTTAAAATAAGATAAGATACTATCATTAGAAAATATGAATATTGAATTTTTTTTTATTCAAATCAAAATCTAAAATTTTTTTTAGTAGTGGTACATCGTCATTTATCATTTTATCATCTTTGTGAAAAAGAAAAAAAAGAAAAGATCCAAATCTTTATTTGATCAATATCTTTATCATTATTATTTGAATCAATATAGGAAAAATTGTTTCAGGAAAAAATAATTAAACACAAATCGGATGTCATCAACTATCACACTACATACTGTATATAGTTGAAAATTGATTGATTAATCGATCGATATCCAAAAAAATTTATTTATGAAACATACAAAAAAAAAAGTTTTCGCAACATAAGAAAATAATTTAAATCTCATCATTATTTAAATTTGGGAGGGGAATAATCTAAGATTAAACAAAAAAAATGGATCATTACTTTTTGAATAAATTAATTTGAAAAATGTTTACTGGAACTTTCAAAATAAAGATTCGAAAAGATTGATGATTAGATAAACTCTTTAGTTACGAAATAATGAGAAAGATGAAGAAAAATGTTTTTATACCATGGATTTGACAATTTTTTTGAGTAAAATATTGAACTTAACCCTAAATGATGATTTCAATATAAATAATTTAATTTAATACCTTGTGTGGTCATCACCATCAAATGACATTGATGCGCAATTGAGAAAGGGGGAAAATAAATTGCTGAATTGAATTTGACATTGAAAAATTGACCATTCACACAAACAAACATCAATTTTTCAAACAACATTATTATGTGATGTCACAATTACAAATGATGAATTGTCCACCAGCAACACGATAATCACTTTTCAAATGTCATAATCATGATGATGATGATAGTGTTATCAAAAAAAGAAAAAGAAAATTGCTATTGTTTTTTCAAAAATCACATTATTAAATTAAAAAAAAACTAAACAAAGAAAGCAAAAAGAAAGAGTTAAAAGACATACACACACAAAGAGCTAATATTGTTGTTGAGTGTTGTTGTTGTTGTTAATTCAAACAGGTGAATTCAACAGGTATTTTTTTCAAAAAATGCCATGACCATTTTCTTCAACCATCAATAGATGGTGATGCTTGCTGGGAAAAAAATTATAAGACAAAAATCTTTTCAATTTGGATCAATGGAAAATTTATTATTAAATTTCAAATCAATGATTTATAATGACAAAAAAATGGTGATTTTTTTTTATTCGGTGTACAATTCAAATGGGTGGGATCAACAACAAAATTTGAAAAATCCAATCAAATTCATTGTTGATTGATATTTGGATGATAAAATTTGTTTTTAAATAATAATTTAAATAAATAAATAACATTTTCATATTGAACGATTTTCAATATTATTAGCTCATTGATGATCAATCAATTAATCATTTTTCCTAATAACCGCCTCTTGATGATGAACCACCACCATAACCACCACCGCCACCACCACGGCCTCCACCGAAACCTGAACCACGTCCACCACCGAAACCGGAAGCACCACCACCGAAACCGGAGGCACCACCACCGAAACCACCACCTCGTCCACCTTTATCGTAAAAAAATGATTAATAATTTCCATCAATCGAAAGTTGATCTAAGGATACTTACCACTTTGGTCTCGAGATACAACGGTCAAGATTTCTTCCTATAAATCATGATCAAATCAAGCAAAATCAATTAGAATCGAAAATTCTCAAATCGAAGATCAAGACGAGAAAACTTACCTGAACTGGTTGAATTTCTTGGGTAATCTATAAACAGGAAATTAAATGATTAAAAATCGATAAAACGAAAATTATAGAATTGACTTACTCGTCGTTGTGGTGTGATAACTTCGTGAACTTCTTGGATGATTGGTTTGGTAACTGAGTGTCGAAGAATATGTGGTTCATCTTCGGATTGTGATTCTTGAACTGAACCTCCAGCACCATCGTGAGCTTGTTGAATGTTTAAGTTACTTGAAGCACTTCGGAAAAGAAGGTTGACTGGAACAGCGTTGGCTAAATTGGTGATCAGAATTTTTGTTTTGTATTTCGACACACGAAAATTCAGTTTCTGAAACACTTACCACCAACTTCGATGGTAGTTGGAGCAGCACCACCGGATGAAGGAACATCACGGAATTCAACACGATGATTGGAAATGACAGCAGCTTGGACAGTTTGTCCGCCACCGCCACCACCACCCCCGCGACCGAAACTGATACCGCCACCGAAGCCACCACCTCGTCCGCCACCATATCCTCCACCACCACTGCTACGTCCGCCACCATATCCGCCTGAACTACCACCACCATAACCACCGGCAGTGGCGCAAGCGATCAATGAAGCAACAACGATAAACTAGGTGGAAATAGAAGAAGGGAAAAAAATTTCGATAAATTTTTCGGTTTGCTGACCAGGTTGAAAGCAATTCTTACTCGAAACATTTTCGAAGATATTTTATTATATTATTGGATGAAAGAATCACAACTAAATGAAAAAGTTGATTAGAAGATTTTTGATGATCTTTGTTGAAGAAGATTTGATGAATTTAATCCAAAGATTTATCCGAGTTTATATACGAAAAACAATTCCAACATCTTTGCTTTAGATCACTTTAATTACAGCAATTGAAACAAATTAAAAAACAAAAACAAAAAAAAAGTTTTTTTTCAGTTTCAAGTTTAGACAATCCCCTTTTATGTTTTTATTCGTGGATCAGTAGCAATCAACAACAACAATAAAAAAAATCCAATGTTATCAATTTTTCTTAGTAAAAAACATCTCACCTTTATTTTCCAACATCATCATCATCATGGATGCTGCTATTACATTCCACATATTATATCATCATCTGCTTTATTTTTTCTGTTTGTGTCTTCTCTGTGTATGTCTCTATCATCAATAATATTCTCATTCGTTCATTTAGTTAGTTAGTTAGTTAGAGTTCTCTAATTCATCATTAGAGAAGATCGTTAAAATAAAATAAATAAATTTGTAATAAAACAAAACAAAAAATTATCATCTAAAATATCTTATCTAAATAGTCAAAATGATCTATGATAATGATTCGAAATTTTGTTTCAGTTGCTCTTCTTTCGCTCATAACAAAAATTCGTGTCGAAATTTTTGTTTTCGTTTTTCATTTTAGATTTTTTTTCTTTTTCTTCTTGAAAGTAAAGGGATCACATTGCCTGAGCATCACATCGCAAAACACCGCACGCATCATCATCATCATCAACAACAACGCATCCCTTCAGGGGCCTTTCCAATTGATCCAATGCGATTGAAATCAAATTCATCCTTGATGATGATGATGATCCACATGAACAGCAAAGCAAGAAAAAAAACGAATTAAAAGATTAAACAACAATGAATCCAAACGTAATATTAATGTTGTTGTTGTTGATCATGTTCATCATCATTATTATCATCATGGATCATGATGATGATGATGATATTGGCTAAAATTGTTTTTCTTTGAATTTTTCCACATCTTAAAATGATGTTGATGAAAAAAGAGTAAGAATTTGTTTTTTCTCTGATGAGAATGAAAAAAATATATGTGCTAATAACGAAACAAAAATGTAATAAGTATTTTATATTCATTCACATAATGTGAATATTATTATTATGCAAACCCCATGGATGTGATGGTTGATGGCCATGATGGCCTTGTCTAAACTATCTTAATTTTTGTTGTTGTTTTTTTTCGTCTTCTACGTGTCTTATCTATCATCATCATCATCATGGATCATGGATCATATTGAAATAAAGTCTCATATATTTTTCTGATGATTTTTGTTGTTTTTTCGTGGTCACCTTTATGAATGACCAATATATTATATGATTTGATCATTATTATTATGGTTGTCACATTAATTACAGTGGTTGTTGTTGTTTTTCTTTATCATATATTTGTCCATAACCATAATGATGTAAATAATCTCTCTCTAACTTTGTCTAGAAATTTTAATTTTTGACAATTTTCTAGATATTCTCTCATTTTTTTATGTTAAATAATCTTCTCTATTAATTATTCACCAAATATGATGACAGAAAACGAAAATTATTGCAAATCATGGCCATAATCATTATCAATTAGAATTTTTTCTCTTTGAATAATGTGATAAACATATTTTTTGTTTTATTAAATTAATTTTCAATTAAAAATGAAATTTAGAAAAAGTTGATAAATGAATAAAGTTTCATCATCATCATTTTGGATAATGTAATAATGGTAAATAAGGGAAAGAATAAAGAAAGTTTTTGCCAATTTTGTCATTTGCATCCGTTTTCTTCAAAACTGAATGATTGAAATTTAATTAATTTGTTTGAATTTTGTATCATCTTTGGATTTGGATCTATTGATTGATTGATTTGATTGCATAACATGTTGATAGATGTCATTAAAAAGGAAAATTGATTTATTTCGATAGCCAGGTGTGTGTGTGAGTGAGCGTTGGTGTTTTGTTTTTATTTTAATTTCTTTTAGGAACCTTGAACAAAAAAATCCATTTGGGAATCTAAAAAACAAAAATCATTTTAGCATCAATTTGTCTTCAGGGTTTTTATCGAAAACTTTTTTCTTTTATCAATAACAATAACTCTTCCCAGAAAAACAAAAACAAAAACACAAATCATCATTTGTTGCATATTCCTGAGAATAATTTCAACAAAATTTATTGTTAAATGACCTATCCACGTTGCCAATAATGAAAAACAGAACAATGATTTATTTGATCCACGTGAAAAAAAGTCATTAGTTAATGAGTGTTTGTGTGTAAATCAGTTGCGAAAAAAAACATCCAGATAATCACTCATTGAACATGATCACATCCCTACACACAAACACATTGACCTAATATTATTTCAAAGTAATAAAGATGATAATGAAAAACATTTGAAAAAAATCGATTGGATTGTTGTTGCTATGTTGTAAAAATTGACTTGATAATAATAATAACATTGTTTTTTTCTGTAGTTTTTATTAACACAATCATTTTTCATCATCTGTTTCTAGGAAAAAAACTGATTTTAAAGAAATCAAACCACGAATTAATCGCGATCGCTTCGTTAATCGATAACGATTTCTAAGAATTTTTTTTTTGAAACAAGTTTTGATAAATAAATTCAATTTAATAAATACATGACATGTTCGTTTTTCAAATTGGAAAAAAAGTCTTTAGTGAAAAAATCGACTTTTAACCATCTTATTATCAATTTTTTTGTACAATCTCTGATGATTTAATTATAAATAAATAAATAGTGATATAAGTAATTCAATAAATAAATAACGATGGTGATTTCGAAACGACAACGATGATGATTCGTAGCAAGTTGGTTTTGTTTTTTTATGGGGAGAATGGATTATGGGGAAAAAAAATTTTTAAATTTGACTTTCAACAACTAAAATTGGTCAGTTTTTTTTTGGAGATTATTAATAACCGCCTTTGGAACCACCAGATTTAGCGCCCATTGATTTAGCACCACCACCATAGCTTGAACCGCCACCACCACTGCTGCCACCATATCCACCTTTGCTTCCGCCACCAAGGCTAGCGCCAAGACCACCGCCAAAACCTCCGAAGCCACCACCGGAAGCGCCACCAAAACCACCAGCGCCAGCTCCCCCACGTCCACCAGCATCTGTTTGTGTGATTCAAATTAGGAATAGTTAGTTAAATTTTTTCGGGAATTAGAAAATTAGTAGCTGATGATTACCTTTCGATACGATGGTAAGAATTTCTTCTTGGACTGGTTGAATTTCTTGTGTGATCTGTTTTTAAAAAAGTTAAAAGTTCAAGGTTAATTGTCATCCAATTTAAATAGAAAATTAATTTTTCTTTCATTCGTTTCTTACTTTTCGTTGTGGTGTAATGACTTCATGAACTTCTTGGATGATTGGTTTGGTAACTGAATGTTTAAGAATGTGTGGTTCATCTTCTGATTGGGATTCTTGTACTGAACCACCGGCACCTTCATGAGCTTGTTGAATATTAAGACTTGAACTGGCTGATTTGAATAACAAATTGACTGGAACAGACATGGCTATTTTGTGATGAAGAAAAAAAATCCAATTAGATTAGGGAATTCTCTCTAGGATTCTTTGTGAGGCAAATCTTACCGCCAACTTCGATGGTAGTTGGAGCAGCACCTCCGGTTGATGGCACATCACGGAATTCAACACGATGATTGGATACAACGGCAGCTTGGACAGTTTGACCACCTCCGCCGCCGCCGCCACCACCCAAACCACCACCAAAGCCACCACCGAAGCCCATACCGCCACCTAAGCCAAGACCACCACCCATACCGCCACCATAACCTCCACCTGATGATCCACCACGTGAACTAGCGCCACCGCCATATCCGCCACCGGAACCACCTTTTGATCCACCTGAACTACCACCACCATAACCACCAGCAGTGGCACAGGCGACCAATGATGCGACAACAATAAACTATAGAATATAAAGAATGAAGATATATTTATTAATCAGGTTGAATGAAGATGATGAACATGAATTTTGGATTATATGCGATCAATATTTAACATTGATTATCTCGGGATCATTATTATTATCGGGTATTGATGATCATCGGATAATATTCAAAAACCAAACAATGAAAAACTTACTCGAAGCATATTTGATGTATTTGGAGATTTTTTATTTAAGTAATAAAAGAACAAATAATTTACAAAATGAATGAATGAAATGAATGAATCTGTTTATGATTATCTTCAACGACAATGACGTTCGTTTAAATATGCGGTCGATCGATCCATTTGGATTCATCTTTTCCAAAATATTGAGCCCGATATTTGTCAATGTAATGTATGGCCCGGCTCTTTTTTATTATTATTATTATTTATTTACTCTTTACTAATATTAATAATCATCATCATCATTTACAAAAACTCTTTCTAGCCATTATGTCACACACACACACCTATCTAATTCTCTTTCATCTAAATATTCAAAAAATCATTTTGTCTACAAAAAAAATTTTCTGGCCTACGTAACATATCATTTTGCCAATCATCAATTTTTGTCTCTTTATTTGGTCAATTTTACTTTTCGCATTTACTATATACTCCAAATGGATATGGACATTAAATCGAAATGAAATGGAAATTGGAAACAGAAAAAAAATGTAAATATCGGTCTCTTTCTTTCTCCGAAACAACCTTGTGTTTGATTTTTGTAATATTCATCATTTTCATTACAAATCAAATCCAAAAGGACCATATTTCCATAATAATAATAATATGCAGCTGCTCTTAGCATCCATAATGGAGAAAAATGAAAGAAGAAAATGAAAACTCGGACACAACAACCGCGAAAATGAATGGAAATGTGAATGAATGAAAATGATTTGCAAATCCAATTCAATTCAAGAAAATGGAACCTTGTCTTTTCATACCTCATCATCTTCCTCATCATCATCACCATAATAATCATTGTTGTTGTTGCACTTCACCTCGACCATCATCATCAAAAACATGGACTGTGTGTTTTTTCTGCATGTTTAAATTATTACATAACATTTTCTGATTTCGATAATGACCACCAAATACGAATGTAATGAAAATTGTTGTTGATCGTTTTGGTCTATAAAAAAATCTCTATTTGAATCGATTGGATTTTCGTTAAAATGAATAAATAAATAAATAATAAAAATATTATGGAAATTTGATTATCATTTTTTCGATGTAATAATTACAGCCTTTTGGTGAATGGAATTAATAAAAACAATGTACATTATCGTTTTTCTTTGTTGTTGAATAATCATTATCATTTTTTTTTTGTTGAAATGACAAGTTTACAGAAATGTGATTGTGGCAAAAGCATTAATCATTTTCATTCATAATGTTTTTCATCCTTTGAAGAAAAATTAGCTCTTTTTATCCTGGTCAATCCTTTTTTTTGTAGCAAACGATGTAATCACGAACAAACAAACAAATTGTTGCCATTCATTTCAATTTTCATATTTAATTAAGTTCATACAAGATGAAGATAATGATGATGGTGGTCATTTGGTCATTCTATACACGATTTGTTCAGTTCTCCATTTCCATTTTGTTTTCAATGAAAAAAAATTTTCACATTTTTCTGGTCAGAATTTCACTGAGAAACAAATTTTGAATCAAGATGATTGGATTATTATGGTTTTTTACCTTATATGAGAATTACCATTAAGATTTTTTGTTTTGTTCTTGATTTACATAAATCCCACACACACACGTTCTTTATTGGTTTTTTTCGAATGAAAATTAAAAAAATTTCAAGTCTGGTGATTGTATCACATTATGTCTATATTTACTTTGAAATTGTTGAATTTTCGTTTGAAAAAGATTGTTGTTGTTTCTTCAAACAATTCATTCAATTGCACTTGAGAAATCTTATTTCATTTTTTTCAATGTCAAATGTTTTAGTGCGAAAAGAAAATTGTCAATTTCATTATTATGTAACTTGAATGATGATGATAAACACTTATAATGTTTAATAATGTTTTTAGAATGACATTTTTAGATTTTTTTGATCAATCAATATTTTGAACGATTTAAGATTGTATTTGAATTGAAAGAATCATTTTTTTGGGCAGTTTACCAATTCCTTCTACAAAAATTGCAATTGGGTTACTCCAGAAATAAAACAGGACAAACACATTATCATAATCATAATCATAATAATCGATTGGAAAAATGATTATGTCATTTTTCTGTCTGTCTGTCAGTGTCTATTTTATTGTTATTGATCATCATCCAATCCATCACTGTTTGCAAAAGATTTTCGCAATCAAACAACAACAAAATGATGACAATAATAATAATAATAATAATAATAATAATGTGTGTTTTATAAAAATGGGGGAAAGGATAAAATGATTATAATGATGATGGTGATATCTGAATAATAACAAGAAGAAGATAAGGATTTATTTTAATAATCCATCATTTTGAAATGCTTCAAAAATATATTACATCTTTGTCTATTTTGAACGTTTATTACAAAATAAGTAGTTGTTGAAAACATTTTTTGTTTGTTTGCTTTGTTTTGTACATCGGAAAAATGTGAATTCTATTGTTGAATACAAATACAGAATATTTATTTGCATAATCAAATTGATCAATCGCTTTCGATGTAACAAGTTTTTTTCAAGTTTAAATGACCTTTTTGTTCAGCGAAAAAAAATTAGAACATTCATTTTCAATTTAGAATTCATCGAAATGATTTTATCAAAATGTCCTTAGTAACAAAAAGAAAAAAAATTGATTGAAAAAAAATTGTAATTCGTTCAAGTGCACCCGGCACATTTGTGATTAGTTTCGTTAATGATGTTTGTTTGATGTTAGATGATGATGTTAGATCTATCAAAGATAGAGTTGTTTTTGTTTTCATTTTCTGAATTTCGAAACTAGTTTTTTTTAAAGATTCATTTATTGTCATCGATCGATCGATTGATTATGTATCCGCCTTATAGATTTTTGGATCGGTATTTTTATCATTATTATCGATTAAATTAGCCTTTTTTTGCCCGTAGGATGATAATAATCATTATCATTATCATCAACGATAACAACAAATACGACGCCTTAATCTTTTGTTTTGTTTTGGTCAGTATTGACTAAATTTGAAACACAAACATATTTCTACAAAAAGATTTTCATTTTTTTTGGCCAAAAAAAAACACTGTTTAAATTTTCCCTTGAATTACTGTAAATAGAGTTCATCATCATGCCGAAAATAAAAATCCAAAATCCAAACATCAGCAACAACAAAATGAGATTTTTCATTTTTTTTACTTCACTTCAAATCATTATGATCATCAACAAAAAAAATTGATCAATTCATTGTCATCATGATGATAGTGGTTTGATCAATTTTTCATCATCATCATTGTTAAAATAGTCGAAAAAAAAGTTATTTAGTTTTTTTCATCCATTCAACAACATTCACACAATGATGCTTTCAACTTGAATCGTTTCAGCAACAGTGAACAAAAAAAAACTGAAAAAAAGATTTGTTGCTGTTGTAACCATCACCAAATAATAATATCCAATCAAAAACACAAACATCTTCAGAAAGGAAAAAAAAGTTTGTGATGATTTTTATATTACAACACATTGAATGAGTATTATGTAATTTTTTTTAATTTACATTTTTTCAAAAGAAAACTAAGATCTATTCATTTTTTGTCAATGATGTGATTATTATTATCATATCATTGGTTGTCGTTGTTGTCATTTTAAATCGATCGAATTGATTGATTATTGAGTATTTATGATGAGAAAAAAATCAATTATTCATTGCATTGATGATCATTAATTAATTAATTGATAATTATCATTGAATGAATTACATTACAAATTGTACCGCCCTTGTTTTTGAATGGGAAAAAATTGTGAATTGATCATTCTGTAGAATGATTTATGTTAGAGAAAAACAAGTAAAACTTTCAAACGATTCAAAGATAATATTTTTTTAATTAAAAAAAATATTATCAAAAACATAAACGTTTAACGCGTGATTGATTCAATAAATCAGATGCATGCAGATTGATGATGATCCAAATAGGATTTGTAAACTTGTAATTTGGTCGTCATTTTTTGAATTTGATTTTTGATTTGTTACGTTGAACGTTGTTAATTCGTGATCATCATCATTTGAAAAAATTGAAATTATTCAACAACAACAAAAAGTGAAATGAATTTAAACGATGTAAAATCGTAACTGAATTTTTTTTCTGATTGGCTTGAAATGAACTTCAAATCAAATCAGAAAGAAAAAAGTTCAAATCAAAATTTTGACATGGCAAAAACGAAAAAAAATTGAAAATATTCAATCATCGAAAGCACACGCAAAATGGACATCCAATTATCATTCAAAATAATCGACAATCAAATCACCTGTTGATGATCATTATCATTGTTATCATTATTTTAACCCATTCACAAATTCAGTCCAACAATTTAAATCATTTTCAATTGTTGATCAGTCAACAATAAGGAATTTTATTGATATCAATTTCTATTGGACTTTTCTTTGAATTCTCCATCATTTTTCTGTATTTGAATATTTTTTGAAAAAACAAATCTGAAGATGGTGGTGGTCAACATTTTTTCACAATAAATTATTGCCTAAACTTTTTTTAAAGTTATGCTTTTAAATGATGTAACTTAACTGAAGATGTTTGATAAAAAATTAATTATTTCATTATTTTTTCCTTCTTGAAACGGAAAAAACTTTATTTAAAAAAAATTATGAATATTTAGTCCTTCTCCACAGCTTAATTCACAACAATGAATGAAAAAAATCACTTTCTTCATTTCTTGTAACAAGGAAAACTGCTTTTAAATAAGCGCATCATCATCAATAAATCTTCTTCGTTTTCTTTAAGAAAAATATTTGCTTGAGCAATTTTTTAATTGATTCAAATTGAATATTCATATGAACAAAATGTTTTGTGCTTGTGCTCGGCTCATCTGTCAGTCTGGATCAGCATTTTTTTTTTGATTTTTGTTTTGTTGTCATCAATAACTTAGTGCTGGTGTATTGGATGGTTTTAATTTCATTAATTCTTGTCGTACACCTTGACCATATCGTGGACTAATATTCATTAAATGTCCTAACATTCTGTCCAGAATTTCTTGTTTGGTAATCATATTGAATGCAAATGCTAGATAAAAATGTAAACGTTGTTGTTCATCCGGTGAAAATGATTCATAAGTTTCTCGGGCATGTTGATATTGTAATTGTATTGAATCCGGTTTCATGACAACAATATCAACAAAACTAAATGAAAAGGGTGGCGCAGTTATATCATACAGCCATGGTTGTTCATTGAATTTTCTATTTGGATAATAATTCGGTAATGAACCATAATTTGAATCCGGGCGCATGAAACCATCACGTTCATTTAGAATTTTTCTACCATCACGATTCACTGGTAATAATAGATGATTTGCTCCTAACCTTTTTGGGACAACAATTCAAATAAATTTAAATTTGAAAATGTCATAGGCAATACATACCTATAAAATTGTGTATCCAAATAGGCAAACATACGACCTAATAATATACGATCAGGTGATGGTTCAATACCAGGTACCAGACTACCTGGATTCAATGCAATTTGTTCATTTTCGGCAAATGCATTTTCAACATTACGATCCAAAGTTAGAATTCCTATTTCTACTAAGGGAAAATTTTCAATTGGCCAAAGCTATTTGAAATGAAATGAAAGCAAAGAAAAATCATCTAATCAATCTTAATCTTATAATTTTTGCGAAAAAAACAATGTTACAATACTTTAGTTGCATCGAATGGATTATATGTAAAACTATTATCAATTTGTTCGGTCGTTATTATCTGTACATATAATGCCCATGATGGTTTTTGACCATTTTCAATTGCTTCGTATAGATCACGTCGTGCATAATCAGGATCTTCGCCTTTAATCGGCCATCAATAGTAGGAAAAGAGGATAAGATAAAAACAACAACAACAAAAACATTATGATAATTATTATAAGTAATTATTTGCGAAAGGAAACAAATATATAACATAATCGATTATTATCGATCAAGTAAAAAAAATTCATTATCATTATCATTAATCCGATGACCGATTATTATTATGATTATGAATGAATGAATGTCAATGAAAATCATTTTCTAATTAACTTGTTATGGGAAAGATTTGTCTATTTGTTTGCCATGTCAATATTAATATTGAATCATCAGCATCATTATTAATGATATGAAAGCATTCTAAAGATTTTCCCTTTGATTATTTTATCATTAAATATATTAATTTTTTCATCTGACATTGAATAAATAATAATGTTTGGAAACAAACAAAAATTTTGGTTTCACAATAAGATTATATTCAGTATTTTGTATCGCTTTTTCTCACATATTATCCATGGGAAATAGTTGTTTGACAGAAACAAAAAATCAAAACGCTTACCTGCTAATCGTATAGATTCAGATAATTTAAGATTACGTATACCGGCCATTGGTAATAATGTATAACGAACATAAAAACGTTTACCATCTTTACTAACAAAACGAAATGTATTAACACTGAATGCAGGCATATGACGAAAACCATCTGGTTGACCATAATCCGAATAAACAAATGTTACACCATTCAATGTTTCTGGACGTCGTGAAAGAAAATCCCAAAGATTATTTGCATCTCGTAAATCAGTACGCGGATCACGTTTTTGTGCATGATTTATATGTGGAAATAATTGTGGATCATTAATAAAAAATACCGGTGTATTGATGCATAATAGGTCATAATTTCCATCATCAGTATAGAATTTAATACCAACACCACGAACTTCCCCGAATGGTGTATCCGCTGAACCACGTTCTCCTAATTGTGTTGAAAATCTAACAGCAAATCTTGTTTCTTTACCGACCGAATTGAATAATGATGCTTTTGTATAACGGGATATTTTAGCATTGGTCACCCGGAATACACCATAATATGTTGAACCTTTTGCATGTACAACGCGTTCTGGTATACGTTCACGATTAAAATGTCCTTGTGAACGACGAAATATTGATTCGGCAAAAATTGGTTCACCTTGCCTAGTAAATGGTCCATTATCATCCGGAATATATGATTGTACAATTGGCGTTTGATTCAAATGTACAGTCGTTGATATTGCTGTTAATCTTTCAAACTTAAATATCAAATGACGAAAATTACACATAAAATCAAAATATAACAAACAAAATACTTACCGAAATTCTTCCACCCGGTATAGGAAATTCACCAAGATCATTATTATTATTATTGTTGGATGAACATTCAAATAAACAAATTATTTTTATTGTTAAGTAGAAAATTATTAATTTTTGTAAACATTTGGCTATACAATTAAATCTTCGACCACAATAATGATATGAATGATCCATATCATAACATTCTTGTACAGAAAAAATGTATGACAAATGAATGAAGGTAATTATGGCAACAACAACAATCACTTATCGTTTTTTCGAACAAATAATTATTTCACAAACATTTCTTTCCACAAACATGACCAACCATAATCTATCACAATTAAGTTTTTGGTTGATTGTCGTCGAACAAGATTTTCGTTGTCTATTTTTTCTGGTGTGTTAATTTTAAATGAGAGAAAAAGTTAATTAAAGGAAGCTCTCTCTCTTTCACTCACCTATTTTAACTCTGGGTTGTCGAACATTTCCGTCAAAAAAATTCTAACACTACACCACCATACCTGTGTGTACCTGGTGGTAACCTTGGTGTTGAAATGGCTTATATCAGATGAAAATGACGATTAAACAATTTGTGTTGGAGAGTTATTTTAAGATGACAATCTTATTGTTTTTTCTTTTTTTTGGGGGGAATCTTTTTTTCCATTGAATTCATCCATTGTTTCTTATGATTTTTTGGAAACAAAAATTTGTTGAAGCGAAAATTTTTTTTCGCTTCATTTCAAATTTAATTTGTGTTCTAATTTTCCAAACAACAACAACGAAAACAACAAAACCGAATCCATTAATAACCGAATCCAAATTACGCGGTTCTATTTTAATTGTTTAATTAAAGTTTTTCAGTTTTTCAACTTTTGTTTTTTCTGAAAATGAAATTCGAACAACAACTATCGACAATCGATTTATTTGTCTTTTTCCAAGCCAAAACAAAATCCAATGAATTCGAATGCTGACATGAAATATCTATTTTTTTACGATTTTTGTAACATTGTTATAATTTTGTTTCGAAAAAAATCATGTCTAGACACACATCCATTAAAATGATGATAATAAATGATGATGATTATTATTATAATGATGATGTTCAAAATGCTAAGAAAGCAAATGAGAAAAATATATATATATTTTTTTTTTTATAAGCGAAAAATTTATAACAATGTTTATTATTGCGTGGTTAATGAACGTAGGCGGTGATGATTATGTGATTCAAACAAACAAACAAGCAGTGATTATATATTTGGATTTGAATATTGAGAAACCAAATCAACAACAAAAAAATTGTTTCATTTCTTTCAAATTTTTTGCTGTGTAATTCCATATGAACCATCATAGAATCTTCGATTACCTTTTTGACCGCCGAGTTGTGGTGATGGCTGTTGTTGTGGGGATGGTTGCATTCCACCACCTAGACTTGAACTCGAATTCAAATCATTATTTGGACTCATTCCGATTTGAGAAGATCCACCATAAGGTTTTGTTTTTGAACCATATCTCCTTTGATTATTTGGAGCCATCATTGTACCATATCCACTGCTACCACTACTGCTGCTATACATCATAATAGGATTGACCATTGATGGTCCATCACCACCATACATTCCAGAATTGATCATCATCATTTGTGGAATCATCATAGATCCTGATCCTGGTCGATAATAACTTCCAGAATTTGATTTACTACTTCCAGTCATGCTACCGGTACCGCTAGGTTTTCTTGCAACAGCAATTATTTGATGAATTTCTTGTTGTACTGGTTGAATTTCTTGTACAACTTTACGATATGGTTGTATTGTTTCTCTCAATTCTTGTATGATTGGCCGATGAACTGTATGCGATAAACGAATTGGTTCATCCATTGATGATGTTTGCTGATAACTACCTGGTGAACTTTGATGTGATTGCGACACTTTCAAACTGGAACTTGATCGAAAATTGAAATTTGCACCTAAACGTGTAGCAGGCACTTCAATATTAATCGGTTGTATGTTACCAGTTGATGGTACATCAACATATTCAATTGTATGACGACTATGAACAGGTAATGTTATAACTTGACGATTACTGCTTCCTCCACCACCATAATTACTAGGGCCAGGAATACCAATATTCTGTTGTGTAATATAATTACTTCCATCATTACTATAACCAGGTCTTAGTTGATTCGTATTCATTCTTGCACCGGAAGATTGTTGATAATTTCTGGTCATTGTTGATGGCATATCAACATATTGAATTGTATGATGACTATTTACAGCTAATGGCACTGATGGACCACCACCAGTCATTACCATTACAGATGATGATCCAGTTCTACTTGCTGGCATAATGTTTAATTGGGGAAAATAACCGCTTGGTCTTTGTTGTGATGATGATCCATACGAAGAAGAAAAGGACCCACCACCAGCATTCATGGCAGGAATATCGGGAATTCCAATATTTTGTTGTGGCACAAAACCACTTCCTAATGATGATGATGATGACGATGATGGTAATGATTGTTGTTGATTACTACCACTATCAGGTATTCCAATGTTTTGTTGTGTTATATATTGGGATGATGATGATGATTGTTCGGCGTCTGAAGATGGCGAATCTGGAATACCAATATTTTGTTGTTCAATTCGACCATTTCCATTGACATTATTGATAATCAATAAAAAAATAACGACAACACTAATTTTTTGAATCATTTTATAATAGTTTTTTTAATTTTCAAAAAATTTCACTTTCCACTTTATATAATTCTGACATAATAATCATAATTTGATGAAAATTATCATGTTTTTATACCATAATGATAACCAACCAAACAAAAAAAACTCATCGATTGCATAAAGGGTTTTTTTCGTTTGGTTGGTTATTAAATTCATGAGAACTGGTTTTTGTTCTTTGACAAAATAATTATTGTATTGTTTTCTGTGTAAACATCATAAAAAATTCAAAGAATGAAATATATTCTTCTTTTTGATTATATTCTTCAATTAGTATTACACAAACTACTGGTACTTGTTTTTGGAAAATACCCAAATCACACAATGGTTTAAACAATGGACATTGTCCATTTCATTATCGTCATATTTTTTTAGCTTGTTGTTTGATAATAACAACAGAAAAAATGTCATCAGAAAAAAAAATTAATATCCATACATTGTGCGTGTTTTCGATGCTAATCACTCATCATCATCATCATAACCAGGTACAACCGGACATTATGTGATTATCTTCTAAAGAAAGAGAGATGAAAATTTCATTGCCATTTTTGAAATTCATTATTTATGAAGTAATTATGCTGATAATTTTTTTAATTGTAAATCTTCATTATGATTATTCTCTTCCAGTTGATTGGACGTTGTAATATTTTCAATATTCATTTGGCCCAAAAATGAAAATGAAATGCCCACATTTTGTTTTCCTGAACTATTGACTCAACAAGGATCGGCCTCATCACATTATCAACATGTTATGATAATAATAATAATAATAATTTCAAGACATTATCCTGTTGAATAATTCATTCACTTTCTTTCAATATCTCCCTTTCCACCTTATTTTATCTATGCAAACGAAAAACTTTGATTAATTACAAATTGATTATTTTGATGATGATTACTATCAACAAGTAACCACCGCCAAAATGGATCCAAATGATCCATTTTTTTGTCCCATCTCTGTGTATAATTCATTTTCTACAGAGAAAATTGAATAGGTTTTTTTAAAAGAAAAATTCGAAGAAAAAATTCGAAAAAATAGAATGATGATGATCATAATTAAATTGTAATGGTGGCCGTATATGTGTGTGGTAACATAACAACAAATCTACACAGAATGATATACCACTAGCAATCAAACTGACGATAAGACCGGCATACAGAAAGACACGCATATATGGTAAATCAAGGTTTTTGGCTCATTGTTTTTATTGTTGTTTGTTTTGTTGACACTTCTTTAATCAACTCGGGAATTTGAATTTGATCATGTTTTTTTCATTATCATGTAAGTAATTTATATCACTTTTTTGTAGTTAAACTTTCCTATCTCTTTTTCTTTTTTACCTGTTTTTGTGTTCAAAAAAATCATCAGTTTTAGATAAGAATCATCAGTTTTAACAAATCCAAATTCGTTTGAATTAGGAAAAATACGTATTATCCAAAAATTTCAACTACATTCATTAATGATTAACAAGTGTTGTTCGAACGCAAACATTTAGTTCATTTAGTTTGTGTTTAGCTTATTTTACAAAAAATATGCTTCTTTTTGATTTACCAAAAACCGAACAAGAAGCGATTTTATTTTTACAAGAACGAAATATTTTACCCAAAGAACAAAAATGTAGCAATGGTCATAATATGAAACTGTATATCAGTAAACGAATATTTTGGAAATGTAATTTAAGACAATGTAATCAACAAATTGGAATCAGAAAAGATAATTGGTTTGATGGGAGTAAAATTTCATTTTGTACCGCTTTAAGATTCATATATTGTTGGTGTGAAAAATTAACATCGATTAAATTCTGTAAAAAGCAATTAGGTTTATCGGACAAAACAGCAATCGATTGGAATAATAGTATGCGTGAATTATGTGTATTGGATATGGAAAATAATTCGATTAAAAAAAAGATAGGTGGGCCAGGATGTATTGTCGAAATTGATGAAAGTTTATTCATCAAACGTAAAAATAATTCTGGTCGAATATTGCCCGAACAATGGGTACTTGGTGGCATATGTAGAGAAACAAAAGATTCATTTATTGTTACTATTCCAAATAGAAATGGATCTACCATTCTAACAAAAATTATTGAAAACATTGAAGATGGAACAACTATTTATTCGGAAAAGAAAAGCTTGAATCAAAGCTTCCAACAAGCACAAATCAATCATAAATATAATTTTATTGATTCTGAAACACCTGGACAAACAATACATACAAATACCGTAAAACGAATGTGGGGAAGTGTTAAATGGAGAAACAAAAATCATAGGGGAACCGCTAGACAACATGTAGAATCTTATATATCAGAATTTATATGGCGTCAGTATAATATGAAACAAAATCGAGATTGTTTCGAATCTATATTAAATTGCATATCAACCAATTTTCCATTCAAATCCAATTGATTACTTTAATCTTTAATCTTTGTGTTTTTTAATAAATTTTGATGTATTGTTTTAATTGAAATGTTTCTATTTTATGCAAATTTTAGGTAAGGTGTATACTTGAAAAGAGAATTTGATATTGTGCTTGTTTGGTTGATGTCAAACACTAACACTCATCATTATTTGTTAAATTTCATCTGCATTGTGCTTGGACGCTTTTGAACATCGAGATTTCGTTCGACCAATTCGACCTTCAATCGGCTGCTGTCTCTTCTGTGTATCTTTTGTAATTATTCTTATTTGCAACACCATGGAAAGTAAACAAGTTGAGAAGAATGTGTTGCGACGTATGGTTATCCAATACCATAAAGATGGACTTAGTGTCCGAAAAATTGCTGAGAAAACAAAGACCAGCAAGTCGAACGTAAATTACATCGTACAGACGTTCAAGAAAAAGGGAAGAATAGATGCTATCAAACCACCCGGTCGGTCCGGACCATCAGAAAGAACGCTTCGGCGTTTAAAATATCAAGTGGAAAAAGAACCTTTTGCCACTCAAAAAGAAGCGGCTAATCAAATTGATAAATCAGTCAGCACAGTACGCAGATATTTACAGAAATTGAATTCCAATTCTTCCAAAAATATTCAGAAAAAACGCGAAAAAAACCAAAAACAAACGCAGATTATGAGCCAATCAAATACCAACGAAGATATTGGATCGCGTAAAAACGTCAGACCGCCAAAATGGATCAAAAAGGTCGGGATCAATAAACTCCAGTGAGTGGCACAGTCTCCTGACATGAACTCTATCGAACATGTCTTGTGTCAAACCACCGACTAAGGTCCAATCGACTCGCGAAGCGTTTTCGAGTTGAAGCTTTAAAAATCAAGAAATTGATTGGCTTATAGAGGCGCAAATTGAATTGTTGGGTATCACCCGCAAAGACATTGTCCAATATTTATTCCGAGGACACAGGCGTACATTCAATATAAAACGATCAAAAAAACTGCCGAGAGCATCCTGATCGACTTAAGGGATGGGCTCGAGGAGGTTATTCACGACGACGAGATGGACTTGTTTAATATTTTTTCTTTGTTGTTTTATATTCATTCTATTTTTTTTTGTAAATTTCCTGTAATTTCGAAATAGAAACAAAATAAAACGATAATTTGAATTTTGAGCAATGAAAAAAAAAACTGAAACACGTGGTGCCATCTATTGGAGTAAAAATGGTAATGAACAAATGTAGATTTTTTATTAATTAAATCTTTATTAATTACAATTGAATATTTATAATACAAATGGACTTCACAAAAAAAGAAGAATTATTAGAACAAACCAACAAATAAAAGTGTGAGAAATGGTGATTTAGTGATGATTGTTTGTTTGAGAATGAAGACATGAATTTCAAAAAAAAAGAAATGATTACAAGATAAATTGGTATGGTACAAACAAAAATGTAATTTAAAATGGGTTTATGTCGAATTACAATTGATTATGAAGAAGAAGAAAAAACATTTAAAGATGAGAAAATATCACAAACACGAAAAAATACGGATAGAATACGGCAGGCTTCTTCCGTAATAAAAGGATCACATTTTGAATTTTGAATTGAAAAACAATAATGTCGTTTTTGTTTCTTATCAACATTCGCTTGCTAAATGATGACGATTTCCATTGGTCATATTGTTGTTTTGGCCTTTTAAAACGTTCATCATTTGTTGATGATTAATCATTTGTTGTTGTTGTTGCTGCTGCTGTTGAGATTGTTGAATATTCTGTGAATGTTGTTGTTGTTGCAAAAAATTATTATTATTATTATTGTTGTTGTTGATTACATGATTCATTGATTCGGATTGATGATCACAAAGTTTATGATCATTCAATGTACAGCAACGAACTTGATCACCATCCAATAAAGCAACCGTTTGTTGCTGTTGTTGTTGTGGCTGCTGCTGATGAGATTGTGCTGGAGATCCGTTTGGAATTGATTTTCCATTCACCATAGCTGTATTATCACGTACAATGGCAGGTAAATGAAGACCTTTAATCAAATTGAAAAATGAACATTTTTTAGATTAGCTAAACCAAAAACAATAAACAAAAAACTTACCACCAATATTTCCATGACCAATAGTATGATGATTATTACCGGATGAAAGATAACTACTATTCGGCTGTAAACGTATCTGATTGGATAGATTACGTTGTGATGCACGATTTAATGTGGCTAAAAGTGCTGGTGTAAGACCAGCATTACGATGACCATCTTGTTGTTGGCAAAGATGAGCACGTGCTTGATGATTATCCAATGATCGTTGAATAGCCGGTAATAATAATTTAGCAACATAAGGATCTTCATCAATACATTCATAAATATGTTCAAACATTTGTGTCAAACGACGACAACCATAATCAGATGATGATGTATCATCTTGTATAGTATTGGTTAGCTGACTGATACTTGATAATGCTTGACTTAGACGACTATGATTGAAATGTTGCTGTTGATTGTCTTGATTGATTTGTTGTAAATTATTTTGAAATTGATGAATCGATGGAGTTGAATGAATCATTTGAGTAGGAATCAATGGTTGATCAGTCGTTGGTGAATTTGCTACGGCTGTTGGTGTTTCGCTATTGCTTGAAGTTTTTCCCAATAATTCATTTAAATATAGCAGCGAAGTTCGTGGTGCAGCTGAAGCCGAAACATTTCTTGAACCTAAAAATGATGCAGCCGGTTGTTGCATATAAAGATGTTGTTGTGATAAATGATGACCTACGTGTGTTGAACCACCATTCATTATTAAATGATGAGAATCACGCAATGATGTTGAACGTGTTGAATCCGAAGAACTTTTTGTTCCGAATGCCATCGATTGTTGATCAATGGTACGGAAAAAGAAACAACGACGACAGCTACGTGTCAAACTATTACGATATTCTTGGCGAACTTTTTCATTAAGAATACAGCAGAAAATAAATATCAATAATCCTTGTAACGAATTGAATACGGTAAATATAAAAGCCATTGTAAATGTTGGCCTAGCTAGATAGAAAACACCGATCGACCATGTTAAACCCAACATTACCAACAATGATATCGATGTTCGTATCCAAATTCTATAGATTAAATTAGATTAAGAAACAGATTAATATCTCGATAATCAATATCTAAATTGAAAAAATTATTTACTTGATTGAATGCATTTTACTATGTTCAGTTGAGATTGAATACGATGGCGATGGTGTCAATGTTGATGATGGATAAACTTTTAAATGTTGTTGCTGTTGTTGATGATGATTATGATTTTTTTGATGAACAACAGTCGAAAAATTAGTTGTTGTCGATGTTATTATTGAATTTGGTGAATGTTTACAGATAATACTAATGGCCAATGTTAAGAATAATGCATTAGCCAAAAGAATAGCTAATGCTGGTCCCAAAAAGCTCCAAATAAAATGATTATCAGTTCTTAGCCAACAATGTTGCGAAGTTCCATATGATAATGGATCAACCAATGCAGCAACAATAACTAATAATGCTGGTGCACCATATGCAACCAATGAATAGATGGTCATACGATTATGACGATTTTCGAATACTTGTACCAACATTGTATACAATTGTAAACCTTCGAAAAACATCCATAAAAATGATGCCAAAAAGAAATAATGTAATGCAATGGCAATCAATCCGCAAACTAATTTGATACGTGTTTCATCAATTCCCAACAAAAATATAACCTCGGCAACCAAAAGACAAGCACAAAGATGTTTATGAATTGAATTTCGAATTGAATTTAGATTTCTGTTTATAAAATAATTCAATAAATGAAGCAATTCAATAAATGAATACAACACATACCTGTAAACCGATAGGGTAAGCAATGTTATAGCTAATGCAATAATCGAAATTGAACAGCCGATTCTTGTTATCATTCGTAAAACATATTCATCATTTGCATCCATCTAAGAGAAACAAACAACATTAATCAATGCTTGGATCAAATCGAATCAAAAAAACTTACGGGTACATTTGTAATGTCCATTAAAACAGCAAAATTAGTCAGATGATTACAACGACAACTAGTATGTGTACGATTTGTGGATATTGTTTCACAACCAGCTGTTGACCAATCACCGAATGTATCTTCATCGATACGTTTCATATCCCAATATGCACAACGACCATTTGTTACATTTTCTGTTTGTAAATGGCGAAATGTCAATTCAATCAAACCACCATTCAATGGTACTGGTAATCGATCATATGATGAATGTTCATGAAAATCTGTAGCCAAAATTAGGCCAACAATATCGGAATTGATTATCGTTTGGGTTGATGATCGATACATTCCATTATTATTGGGATAATGATGGTGATTATTATGATGACGTTGATATTGATACATAGGATATTCATAATCATTGCGTTCGGAAAATTGTTTATAAGCATATGGTTGTAAATGAATTGGATAATCATGATAATTGTTTGTTGGTGTTCGAATTTTCAATAAATTCGCTAATCTTCGATACATTAGGAAGATAACTTTAACTTGTCCTTGATCATTAGCTTGTTGAACCAGAACTTCATATGGAATATGAACTGAAACTTCATTCGATGTCGAATCGGACATTGATGGAACGGACGAATCATATTGTGACAGAACGAATGGAAGATGCATTCCATTTTCTAATGATGCTAATGAATGAACATGAACAGAAACCACTAGAAAATTGAAAAAATTAATTAATTTGATTGAACAAAATGGATTGATGAAAATAAATCAACTTACAGATATTATTATGTGTACGAACAAAATTATAATTTGGTTGCGATCGAACATCGGCTAACAATTCGGCAATACGTTCCATTGCACGAATCATTGTACGTATGGCTAAACGTTGATCATGTGGATTCAATTCATGCCATGATTCCATTTGTATTTCTTCCAAAAGATTACTCGCAACATTCAATACAGACTATATGTTATTTGAAAAAAAACAATTAAAAATAACGATTACGATTTACACAACAGAAACTTACGTTCAATAATTCTTTAATCAAATGTGCACGTCGATCTTGATCATCTTTACTTTCTTCTAATTTGGTTTCTAATCTGATCACCAATTGTTTAATAATATCGGCAGCACTAATCAAATCACCACTATATAGAATTTTTCCTTTAGCTTGTTTAGCTAATTCTTCGGCTAATGAAAATATCGATTCTTGCGAACGGAGACGATCCAAAAGATGAGCAATCCATAGTGATGAACAATTTGACATATCCGGCAGATGTGGTGTCCATGTTGGTTCACCATTGTCAATTATGCATGACCAACGTGCAATACCACGTGCACCAATTGGACATGCTTGTCGCAGTACATTACCGGCCATTGTCCAATTCCAATTAAGATTTTTGGCATACATTGGCCGACAATAATCATAAACTAAATCGATTGAAGGTACTGGTACTGGAACCGGTACCAATAAAACATCATCCGGTTGTGATGTATATGAAGATGATGGATCATCATTTTCCGAATAAGATGATGATGGTGATTGTGGTGGATCATAATTATCCGGTTTTGGTGGTTTAGCCGTAGGTACCGGTTTGCCAATGGACAACGATGGAAAAGACGAAGACGATGGTTCTGATGATTCTGATTGTGGATATTGAGCAGCATTATTGAATGGATGTTGTTTAACATGATGATGACCGAAAGGATTCGACGATACAGTAGTGGTGCTGGATGATGATGCACGATTATATGGTGTATCATTGGATGTATCATCTGATGATGATGGTAAATCATAATTATTATCATCTTGATCCATTGATGATGAATCTTCCGATAGATCAATTGGTTTTGGTGGTTTAACTTGAATCGGTCCAGGTTCATCAACAATTGATAATGGTGCTTTTTCTACTGCTTCTTCTTGATCCTTAATATCCTGTGATGTTAGATCAATATGTGGTGGCAATGCTGTTGATGATCCGATTCCGTTTGATGGTTGCATTGGTGGTTCTGGAAACAATACAACCGGTGGAAATGATACTTGATGATGATGATTATGATGGCCATTATGATGATGATTAGAAGCTTGATTGTTATCATAATCATCATCAACATGATGACTGAAATTTCCGTCACTATGATTGTCTGATTGGTAAAAGAATTGAAAAGTCATTTCGATTAATATTCGAATAACATTGGCAAAAAAAGTGAAAAGTGGAAAATCAAAGAAATGGAAACAGAAAAAGATGGGAAAAGATGTGAATGTTAATACCTTTAACACATTGATAATGAGCTTCCAGATATTTTAATGTACCGGGACAAGGATCGTCAAACATTGTGGTTGATGCAGGCAATTTACAATAGTTTTTAGAGCCACAGCTTTAATTAGTTCAGTTAGATTTGTTAAAATGTTATTGATTAAGTTGGTGGTTAGAGTTAACATTTAAGAGAAGAGCATTGAATTGAAGAATTTAAGCGAGTTTCGTTTTCAAGCAAGTTATAATAGAAGAAAAGAGAAAAGAAAAGACAAAAACAAATTAGAAAAGTCTGCACGAAAAATTTGCTTACCGAAATCATTATTGGTTTGATTGACTAAATGTTGTTGGATATTATTTGTTAATAATGATCCTGGTTTTGTACAATTAAAATGTACTTCTAAATATTTATGTACACGAGGACAGGCATCCTCATTAAATGTTGATACAGTTGCTTCGATTCTACAACGCGAACGACCAGCACATCTAAACGAATTTTCATTTCATTTTCCAAGAAAATCAATAAATTGTAATTATATTTTGCATAAATTGAATCAATTTTTTTGAATATTTGTATATGATGTTTGTGTGATTGAATAAAGTTTGAAATTAAATAAATAAACCACATACCTTTCTTGTATAACTCTAAATGAACGATGTGCCATACAATTAACACTCCAATCAACATTTCCTTGTTCATTACAAACCGAGATGGAAAATCGGCCAAAATTTGCACGTATCAAATTGATATGTGTACCTTCATCACATTGTATTTCTAATGAATTTCCTTCGCATGCATACAATGTATGATATCTTGGTCGTCGTAATGTTGTCGATGATGACCATTCTGTAAGATAAAAGATAAAAACAAGTTCATTAAATTGTTGTCGTTTTTAAAAAAGGAAAAAATTCGGAATTAATTAGATTTTTCTTCAAAAAGAAAAAAAGAAAATCACTGTAATTTGAAATGATAATGAAAAAACGATATGCTAACAACCCAAACAACATCCGTAGCAATATCATATACACACGGTAGCATTTGAAAGATCGCTAGATGAAATCGTTGTTGGAATTAATTATGTGTCACTTTTTGTTTGTCCACATCATCATCATCATCTTGATCTTCAGCCACAGCCACATTCATTCACGTCACTTGACATTGGCATTCATTTTTTTATTCAAAAACCAAAAAATGATGGCATCTTGATCATCATTTCATTTCTCCACTACACACAAGTCAGTTAGGCTATCTTTTCGCTCTTTCTCGCGCACTGTGAAAAGCTATTTCTTCGATCATCATCATCATCAGGTCGATTGGTTGGTTGGTTGGTCGGTGAAAAGAAAATATAGAGAAGTAAGATGAAGATTTAAATTGGCATCGAACCGAACCGACCAACCAACACTCATGGTTTAAGATTTTTTTGACAAGATAATGATCTTGAGGGATGATGATGATACTTTTCAGTGAAAAGGAAAAAAATGAAAAGAATGATGATGATAATAAGTGTTTTTTCGCTAATACACACACACAGGTAATATGTGGATTTTCTGTTCTGCTTTTCTTTTTTTTTGTTCTAAGTTTCATTTGTGTCCAGTGTTTGTTTCAAAAAAAATTGCCCATTAGACCAACAACAACATAGCAGAACAGAACAGAAGCAAATTCTCGTTGTTATCATTTGAAGTTGATCAACCATGACCAGGGTTTTTTTCTATGAATGAATGTTTGAAAAGACAAAAACACACTGTACACACAGTGATCCAATCTTCAATTTCATTTCATTTCCTTTAACAACAACAACAAACGTCATGATTATGACATGTCAACAACAAATAAAAAGAAAATGAAAAGAAACGTATCATAATAATGATTATCATCATCATCAAACAGTCCACCACTAATGATTGAATGATGATGATGATGATGGTTAGTTGGGTATGTTAGTAGTAAATGAATGAAAAAATATAGACCGGAGACAAATAATTTAGTCTTGTTTGGTCAAAGGTATTTTTCCGATCAAAATTTTCCAATGAAATAGCACACCAAACGAGAATAAATATTGGTCTTTGTCTCTCTGTGTGTGTATTCAGGTGTTTTTTGTCTTCTGGTCTGATTATTAACACGCACTATTGAAACCAAACTAAATAGATTGCTGATAATGTGATATGATATAAAAAGTAGTCAAATTGTAATGATATTGGATGTTTATGATGATAATCATTATTATCTGGCAAAAAATTATTGCCATATTTGACATCTAGCTTGTTTTTAGAGAATGATAATGATAATGATATAGCCAACCAATCTAAATGTCAATGACACATTCAACAAACTAACCAACCAACCAATGACACAATGATTGGTTTATTTCATCCATCATCATCATCATTATTATCATCTACCTAGGTAGGCAATACTTATGTGTTTTCAGGTAAAATTAGCGAAAGTGAAAATACAACAAAACAATTCTCACACGCACACCTAATTCATACAGCAAATGAGAACAAATATTTGATACATATTTTGTTTTGTTCATTAGTTTCATCAAACAACAACATGACCCTTCGAAAAATGTTTTTCTTTTTTTCCTTGAAAAACATTTCTTTTTTTACCTTTACTCTCTCAAAGGTATGGCTATATAGAATTTTTACCTGCAATTTTTTGTTAATTAAAATATCGCAGCGGGTGCTATCGCCGAATGAATTCAAACGACGACGAATCAAACGAATTCATTGAGTTTTTCAACAAACCAAATAACAACTTCAAGGACATTGATTCAAGATTTGAAGAAAAAAAATTTAAAATAGATGGATGGATGGATGGATGGTACCATCATCAGGCAGACATCATTAATATTTGAAATAAACAATTGAAAACAAAAATTCATTCATCAAACACAATTCAATTCAATCATCAAATCGAATAAAATGAATAATGACACAATACTTTTTTGGAAGCAATAATGCAAAATGAATTCAATGAACCTGACTAAGCAAACCAAAAAGTAAAGTAGTAGTTTTAAAATTGATAAAAAATTTAAAAAACAAGTTTCTTTATCAGTTAGCCAAACACTAACTGAATGACCACTGTCCACCATCATCATCATTTCTGTGGAAAACAGAAAAATCCAATTCAAAAAACAATTAGATTCAATTTGATGATGTGGATATACATTACTTTTATTTGCTTGTTTGTTATGTAATGCATTCCTAATTAGTAAAACGATGATGTGGATGTGAATGATGAAAAAAGCCAAAAACATCTATCCAACCACCCGACAACAACAAAAACAAAAAATGCATGTTATTTTACTGATAAAAACAAAAACAAAAATTTAATTGGCCAAACAAACCAAACTAAACAAAAACCGTAAACAGACACGGATGAAAAAAAGGATAGTAGCAAGAAAAAACAGACTAGAAAAATACCGGGAAGATTCTCGCATTCATTTGGTTGGATCACCGAAAAAATAATATACCGAAAAAACATCATGATGAAAATCAGATTAATCAGACAAACAAACAAACAAACTTGGTATTTGGTAAAAAGACCCTGAAATGAAATAAATAAATAAAGCCAAGTGTAGCATGTATGGTAAAGATAGTGCAATATTATTATTATTACGAAACAGAGAATGCCATATGCCGAATTTTTTTTTCGTTTACCATTTCCGTTTGGTTGTTGTTTATTAGAAACAATCATAAAAACATTAAAGACAATGATGATGATGAACTTTGAAAATACGGAATATGGAACTATCAAAGATTTTTTTCATTTTATAACTAAGAAAAAAAGTAATGACCCGAAATAAGAATAAATGGAGTATAAAAGTATAGAGAATTCCGATGCCATTATTATCATTTCCAAAACAATAATTGCAAAAACAACAACAAAAAACAATTTTCACTTGCAAATATAGCATTTTTGGTCAATTGATGATGATGATGATCACAACAATAATAATAATAATAGCCAAGTAATAATAATAATAAAATGGCCAACAACAACAACAACAGGGTTAATTTATTTGATCAAACATTATCGATCGTGAAAAAAAACATTATCGATTCTAGTTGGATTGGACTGAAAAAAAATATTCACTTTCACACAATATTGGTCCCAATAGAGACTTTTTTCTTTCTTAAAAACAGCAATGATGATGATATAGTGAGACTAATGAATCATTATTTAACACCTTTCTTTCTTTGGATAACTTTCTTCGAGTTCATTAACCAAATATAATTCCTATTTTTTGGCAAAGAATTTTTTTTCATTTAGAGTCTAACCTGGATTATTATTGTTATAAGTATTACATAAGAGGGGCTGTGTATAGACTTTTGGCTTTTTCTCATCTCTCATTTGATTAATAGAGTGACCCAATAGTAAAAAGAAAAAAATAAGGCAGGTTGGTAATGGTAATGATGGTAAGGTATCACATTTTTCTCCTTCTTTCTTTCGTTCGATATCATAATCCATCTGGAGCCTATCATCATCATCGTTTTTACTAAACTAAAGCAGATAAGAAAGTGAATGGAACTTCTTCAATTCTTTTCTGTTTGACAATGGCCAAACAACCAAACCATTGCATTAAAGTGCGTGTGCGGCGTTTTAAATGACGACCATAGCCCATCAAACCATAGAAGAATTGTTGATGATGATAATAGACAAAGACCAAGATTATCATTATCATTATTTGCTGTTATCAAACGAAATGTACCACACCTAAACACTGACCTGACCTCGATATTATTATTATTCGAACCACTGAATTTTTCAAAATGTAGATGGCCAGACAATGGGGGGATTGAAGAAAATTGATCACATACAAACACACATTACATCACTGCAACAACCATATTTGATTGACCGCACACACAGAATTTTTTTCAGACTAGAATGAATCACAAATGGAATTTCTAGATCACCATCATCAGCATCATTATCAGAATTTCTTATGAAAATCTTCTTCTTAGCTTATGATCCGCGAAACTTAATGATGATGATAATGATAATCAAAATCAAATGAAAAAAAACAAGAAGTAATAACTTTGAAGAATTTTGAACTTAATGAATTTCTTTTTGATTCTCTCACACACAAATCATCATTAATGTCACCATAATAGACAACAATGAAATACCCTTGAAATGGAAGCAACAAAAATAAAATAAAATAAATATCGGAACAAGACCATTTCATCATTTACATCGACCAACCTAAATGATCTGCTGAATAATGGCCACTTTTTTTCCGTACGGATTAAATGGATTCAGATGAATGAATGATGAATGAAGAAAATGCATTGACCGAATTTTTTCAATGATGATGACCAAATGCATAGCAGTAGAAAAAAAATAATTAAACAAGATACCAAAATATTTAATATTAAGGCTACTGGGAATTACCGTAAAAAAATCATCATAAAAGGATTCAAAAAGTCTATTTCAATGATGATGATGAGATATCCGTATATTTAAGTAAACTTTTGATACTTAAATACAGAAGCTTGGTATAAATCCATATTATTATTATTATTAAGAGTCTTGTAAATATGGCATTTGATTCAGCATAAAGTGAATATATGTGATGGTCGGTGGATTAATTATGATGATGATGATGACATACACAGGAAAGGAAAAAATCATAATGGTCATATCATTAAGATTATCATCGAGAGAAAAAAAGAAAGAGAAATATAGCATTTCAAATCAATCTGGATCGATTTTTTATTTTTCTCTTTCGATTGATCACCATCAATGTTATCATTATTAATGATTTGTACTGGATTTTTTCGTTGGATGGATGGATTATTGATTCATTGAATAATAATGATCATCATTTACACATCAAC